AAAACTCATTGAAAGGGAAAGATGCCCTCTAAGAAAGCAACGGGCATCTGCCCCGACCCACCTTAACACGCGATTAGCTCACCTCTCCTTTTCACTGTTGCAGAGGAAGGTGCCAAAAGGGGAGGCATAGGCGTGTTCAAACAGTGCCAACAGCAGCCCCTCCCCAAACTCCAGCGACAGCGGGAACTGGCGGCCCAGCTGCCACACGCAGTCCAAGAAGAGGAGAAAGGTGGGTGCCTCGTGCTTGGGGCGGGCATGGGAGAAGGCCGAGTGGGCACAGCGCAACTGGAAGGGGTGGCCAGCCTGGGGAGGGGGCAGAGCCATGGTCAAGGGAAGCAGGGTTTCTGGAGGGAGGGGCAGGGCTGGGACAGGGTGGCCACCTACCTGGATCCACTCCCGTTCCACCAGTTCCTGGAATCCAGTTATGGTCCGGCTCAAGGGGTCCAAGATGAGTTGGGCCAGTGAAGTCACAAGCAGAGTGCTATCCCTGCCTTCAGCCCCATGTACCAGGATGCAGGCTCCTTCCCTATCATGGGAAGGGCCCGTGAACAATGGCAACTTTTTCCCTGCCTGGGGTGGGTGGCAAGACCAGGAATAGGCTGTGCCCAGTTCTAGACTGTACATCCTTATGAATCATGGATTTCAGAGCCCTGCTCATCCCACCATATCCATTCTGTCTCACAGGGTAGGAACTTTACCTTTCCATTCCTTGGGCTGCCAGGCAGGCAGTGCTCAGTGCCTCCTTCACATGTGCCAGCCAGCGGCAGCCCTCTAGACGACTAAGCCAGCGGTCCATGCTTTGCTCCGGGTCCCCACAAGCCTCTACTAGGCGCACAAAACTCTCCTGGAGAGCCCGTCCCCTAGGCAAAAGGGAATCTGGTCATCCTTTCCCCAGTCCAAGCTCTGGGTGAGCCCAGATTGGAAGCAAGTGCTTCATCCCAATGAGGGAGGGGAAATAGAACTTTCTGAGGAGCCCATTTAATAAGAAGGGCATAGAACCCTTTGGGGAGCTCAGTCTCATGGGGTATAAAACCCATGGAAGAGCCCTAATTTCATGAAAATTATGTCATATCTTTGAGAAACCCTCCATCTTATAGGGCAAAATAAGACTCTTAGGGGAGCGCTAGTCTGTTGGAGGGAACCACTGTATCACAATACCCCAGGAAACCCCCAGTTATCCTTGAAGTAACCCAACCTGATGAAAACAACACAGTTCTCCTTGGGGAATCCCCATCCAATGAAAGAAACAGTACTTTCCGGATTCTGCACCTGCTCCTACCTCTAGACACCACTCTGCTCAAGGCCACCAGTGACCCCACACACACACACACACCAGAAAATCTAATGCCATCAGTGGCCCTCTTCCAGAAAATTTAACAGATTTTTCCGCCCTCTTCAACATCTTCAGTGGATTCCCACTGGCTTGAGGATAAAGTCTAAATTCATAACCATGGTGTTCAAGTTTTTCATGTTTTTTCTCTAGACCCCATTCTCCCTTTAGCAGCATCTCTCCCACTTCCTACCCTACACTTCTACCACCGTGAAGTTGCTTGCAGCTCCCCCATAGGACACATGACCAGGCTCTCTTTGCAGTTCCTTCTCTCTTCAGTTCCCTCTACCTGAAATGACCTTCTCCCTCCTAACTAACTCCTCTGCCTCTTTCAGGTCTCACCAAAAGCATCCTGTTCTCAGGGAATCTTTCAAATTACTAAGACAGGTTGCCTCCTCTTGCTACAACTTATTTCAATGAGTTCTAATTGCCCATTTACTACTGAGCTCTGTCAAGTCTAGGCTGCTCACCATGGCAGCCCCTCTGCTCAATGTTGGGTGAATAAATTAATAAGAGTTTTGCATGATGAATAGGGAAGCAGCCTGCTCTCCCCAAAGCAACAGATACATCTATATCTGTGCAGGTACAGCCTTCAGGGAGGACTGTATGTGTGTGTGTGTGTGTGTGTGTGTGTGTGTGTGTGTGTGTGTGTGCGCGCTCGCGCGCGCGCAGCTTTTTCCAAGAAGACCAAATTCAACTTAATGTAAAGAGGTGCATTTTCTTTCCAGGCAGAGTTGGGGTACTTAGTGATGAGCTCTCTCATTTGTGGGTTGTGAAAGTGGGGATGGCCAGCTGCCAGGATGGCTTCCAGGAAAGGTCTAAGCGTCTTCCAGAGCCCTGGCCCTTTTTTCCCTCCCACACACACACATTCATGAAGGAAATCTAACGCCATCAGTGAACCCCACCAGAAATTCTAACAGATTTTTCAGCCCTGTTTAGCGTTTTCAGTGGTTCCTACAGCTTTTAGGATAAAGTCTAAGCTTATAACCATGGTTATGCAACAAAGCATCTTCTGTGGCTAAGCCTGGGAGAAGATGGGAGGCCTCCTACCTCTCCAGGGGTCGGTGCAGTCGTTTCCAGCCAGGGTAGGCGGCCTTGGCCTCTGTGCCCCCTCCAGTCATCCGGGCCTGTTTAGCAGCCTGGGCCGATCGTGTGTCCACTATGAAGCCCCGAGCCCCAGGGTGAGCCCCTGCCAGTACAGCTCGAAGCAAGTCCTCATCCTCAGCGCAGCGCCTCTTCTGGGGACCAGTCAGTGGCTGACTGGAGCGTAGCAGAACCTGTGGACAGGGACCCATCTCAGGTTCAGGAATTGGACTCTGGGCTTGGGGACCTTTTGGGCTAGGCCTACACTCAGGAGCCGCCTACACTAGGAAAAGGCTGATTGTGGCGCTGGGGCCTTAGGTGCGGAATTCACAAGGCTTCAGATGGGCTCTGCGAAGGTCATGGCTGTCTAAGGTCAGAGGTAGGAGGGTCCCTACGAGCAGACACCAGGTCTGGGTTGACAAAGGAACTAAGCTTCAAGGGGCTGGGGTCGGGACTCAAAGGTGAAATCCAGAAAAGCGGGAGGGGCGGGGCCAGAGTCCGGACCGCAGGATTTCCAGGAGGCGGGGCTTGTTGGAGGCAGAGCGAGGCGGGGCCTGAACGGGGCAGGAGTCCCAGGCAGCAGCCAGACGCTAATTGGCTCCTCCAGGGCGGAAAAGGGCTTTTGGGTCTCAGGGCGGAGCCTGGGGAGGGGCTGGCTCACGGTTCCACTGGGTGCGTGGTGGTAGCAGAGCACTGGGAAGCGGCCTCCCTGGCGGAAGCGGGCGCTACGCGCCAGGGCATCGTCGTCCACCGCTCGAGGCACGATTACCGCACGAGGGTAACTGGGGCACAAACTAAAGTCCTGGTTCACCTCGCTCAGCCGCCACGCGTTGGTCTGCAGCATAGAGAGGGTCGAAGGCTAGGTCTAAGGCACCCAATGAGTTCCCAGCCGGCGTGCCCCTGCTAGACCCGGTGCTTCCTCATCCCCAGGCCCTCATGACCGCGCCCACCTCGCGAGCTACTCGCTTGTAGTAGCATTCGGGCGGATGGAAGTGCCAGGCGTCGCCCAATCTCAGGCCCTTGGGACGGTAGAAGAACGGAAAGGAGGTGATGACCGATTCCAGAGAGGACAGCGCCTGGGGACGAACGTCAGGGGCTGTAGGATTTATCTCAATTGAGTACATTCCAGCTCCTCCTCTCCTCAACTCCCAACACTCCTTGTACCCCAAGCCATCTTGCATGTCATGCCATTTAGCTGAGCCTCGGGACAACACTGGGTACAGAGCCCTTTTCACTAGTAACCCCTTTTTTGCTCCCCCCAGTACTGGATAGGGATAGCGTAAGGACCTCGGGTGCGCCCCCTGAATACCTCGATGGAACGGGCGATGTCCAGGGTCGCTTCCACGCCCTCTATATCCAGCTGCAGCACCCTCAGGTCCTTACAGCGTAGGGTGATTGTGCCAGAGTCACCCGCCACCCTAGGGGTGGACAGACCCAGGCTCAGTATACCCCGCCCTCCATCAGGGGAAGAGAACGAGTTTCATACAATTGGACGTTATGCAGGAGGGCGCCAGCTCCAAGTGCGCTGGCCCTTCCCCCTCTCCCCGTAGCGTCGCGCGCTCCCCAACTTGTGGGACGTCCCAGCCACGTCTCACCGCTTCTCGATGGAGTCGACACTACGCAACAGCAGTAGCCACAGGTCTGCAGTCGATGGGGGCCCTGGAGACAGCAGCAGGTGGTGGCCGGTGACGCACAGCGTGCCGCGCAGCGGGGGCTCCTCTGGGCCGGGGAGTAGCTCGGCTTGGGCCCGGCCGGTGCGGATCAGCTCTGAGAACTCCATTCTACCAGCGGGGGCCCTGGGGCCCAGCGGGACAGACTCTGGTAGCGTCGGGCGGGGCGAACGCGGGCTCCAAAAGGGACAGGAACTGGCTGGGCAGCTGGCGACGCCGGCAGGACAGCTGTTAAGGAGGCCCCTCAAAGGAAGGGATCGTACAGTTCCACAGGCATTTTCTCCTACTGCCAATATCAGTGAGGACTCAGGCCAAAGTCTATTAAGAAAACCTCAAATTTCCTCATCTGGGAAATGGGGAGAATAATCTTGCCTGAAGCCCTTGTTTGGGTCTCAAGAGGCACTCGGTATTTGGGGCTTTTTATTTTGGGGGTGCTGGCACCCCTGCTGCCTTTTGAAAGAAAGAAAAATAACCATCTCTTCCTCTGCACCGTGGTGGATGGGTTGGAAAGTGTGAAACTGGGAACTACCTACTTCCTCCCATACCTCTGAAGCTTGAGTGGGGGAAATCCCTTGGTCCACCTTAAATGCATGCAGCTGTGTAGCTGGCGCCCCTCCCGCTCCACAGCTGGAAGTCCCTGCCTGAGGGCGCCCTCGTCAAGGGCCAATTCTAGCTGTGGCTGATCCTCTATTACTCACCGCTTTGCTTCATCCTTTCCCCAGGTGCCTACTGCCCAGACAATGAGCGAGGCCCTGTGTTTGGTGCTGAGGGGCAGGGGTGACTGAGGAAGATTCTATTCATAGAATTTTCAGTCTGATTCATCATCTATCCATCCATCCACCTAAGTAATTTTTTTTTAATTTCTTATTGATGTCTGCACTATGCTGAATCTGATTAAGAATAATTCACTAGGTAACCCTTCTTTTAATGAAAAAAGTGAAATCATAGGTGGACTCCTATAATGAAACCATAAAATTGGAGCTGTTCTATCAAGAATCAGATAAAGAGTTCAAATTATAAAATTTCAGTCCAACAGCAGCAGTTATGGTGGGAATTTGATAGACATGCAAATTCTCAGGTCCCACTCCAGATATACTGAATCTGAAACTTTGTGAGTGAAGCTTTCCAGGTAATTCTAATGCATGCTCAAGTTTGAGAATCACTAGAATGTATACAAATAGGCAAAACTAATTTAAGCTGTCAGAAGTTAGGGTAGAGCTGGGACTGTAGCTAACTGGTAGAGCACTTGCCTAGTACACACAAAGCTCTGCGTTCAATCCCCAACACCAACCACCAAAAAAAAAAAAAAAAAAAAGAGAAGAAGAAAAAATATGACAGGCCAGGAGTACTGTACTTGTAATATATAACACTCCCGAAGTTATTGATCTGTCCCAATAGAGGCTCACAGAGGGATAGGGACCTGCCCTGCAACCTGGTCTCCTTACTGCCAGGTGGGGCCTCTGGGCCCTATTCCTTGGCTGATGGGCTAGTGCTGTGAATGAGGATGGGGCAGCTTGTCAACCTCCTCCCCCTCTCAACTTCTGGTCTTGGGTCTTGGGAAGAGAGCCAAGACTGGGGTGAATGATGCTTTTCTTATCCTGGAGCAACTTCCTTTCTGGGAACTGGGAGTCTCCTTCTGGGCAAAGACAATAAATTTCATCTAAAGAACTAGAAAAGCAGGGTTCCTCCTACCCCCACCGGATGGGCATCACGTGGCTCCTGGTTAGGATTCCAGGAAAATTCCAGTCCTTGCACACTTAGCTTCACACACCCATATGCTCACCCAACCTGGCACACTCAGACTCTCTATCCCCACCTTGAACATTCACCATCACCCACTCTCTGGCACACTCTTTTTACTCTCAGCTTCTACCACCTCTCCCCGAACCATATTGCAGGCCTTTCCCTCACCCCAGAGTAGCAGCCCTGCCTTGTCACTCACTGCAAACCCACCATGTCCCTGGGGCCACCGAAATTCCAGGCAGTGGATGAGGAGGATGAGGAAGAGGAGGAGGAGAGCCTGGACTCTGTGAAGGCACTGACAGCCAAGCTGCAGCTACAGACTCGGCGACCCTCATATCTGGAGTGGACCGCTAGGGTCCAGAGCCAGGCCTGGCACAGGGCCCAAGCCAAACCTGGGGCCGGTGGACCTGGAGCCATCTGCGGCTTTGACTCAATGGACTCTGCGCTTGAGTGGCTCCGGCAGGAGCTGGTGAGTCTGGTGGCTTAGATTGCCTTACATGGGGTCTTCAGGCCAATCCTCCTTAGGGCCCAAGACCATGGGTGTGGGGAGGGGATGAGAACAGATCCCCTAAACAGCAACTGCCAGCTCCTGTGTCTCTGGGGCTCAGGAGCCAGAAATATCCTTGTTTATTATTTTATGTGGAAAGTCTTGCTGAAGAAGGATTACATCAATCTACAGAGCTTATCTCCTGTGGCTCAGGGGAGAGAGCCCTGCCCTTGGGGGACCATCAGTTATAGGTAGAGAAAGACATGGCCTCCCCTACTTTGGGAACTGCTATGCCCCCAGAGAAATACAGTGAAGTATACAAAAGAAAGTACTGAACATGTTGTAGGCAGAATCTGGAGAGTGTTGAATATTAGCTGTCAAGCCAATATGTGCACATATAAAGGTGTCCAGGCTCCAACTTGGAGATTTTTTTTTTTGGGGGGGGTGGGGGGGTTACCAAGGATTTCACTCAGGGACACTCGGCCACTGAGTCACATCTCCAGACCTTTTTTGTATTTTATTTAGAGACAGGGTCTCACTGAGTTGCTTAGTGCCTTGCTTTTGCTGAGGCTGCCTTAGCCTTCCAAACCGCTGGGATTACAGGCATGTGCCACGGTGCTCTGCTCCAACTTGGAGATTTTACTTAGTTTATCTGGGATGGGGTCCCAGGCATCTGTATTTGCATAATAATGGCTCTTTAGCGCTGAGAACTCCTCGTGTGGAGCAAGATCTGAGAGATGGGGAAGGATGAAACTAGGGTGAGTGGGAGCCAGGGACAAACCAGTGCAAAGAAAGGCCCAGAGTGTTGACAGGAAAGTAAGAAAGGCAGGTAGGTGACACTGGAGCAGGCCCCCGCAGGCTCACGCCCCCTCTCGGCCGCAGCGGGAAATGCAGGCTCAGGACCGGCAGCTGGCTGGGCAGCTATTGAGGCTGCGGGCCCAGCTGCACCGGCTGAAGGTGGACCAAGCTTGTCACCAGCACCAGGAACTGCTGGACGAGGCCGAGCTGGAGCTGGAGCTGGAGCCCGGGGCCGGCCTGGCCCTAGCCCCGTCGCTAAGGCACTTGGGCCTCACGCGTATGAACATCAGCACCCGGCGCTTCACCCTCTGCTGAGAGCGACCTGGGAAGACAGATGGGAGGGGTATCCCAGAGGGCCAGCACCTGTGTGGTGGGGGCACATTCAGGTCTCTTAGACCCCACCCTAATCTCCTCAATAAAGCCCTCTGCCTCCCATCAAGGTCTCTGCAGTTTTTCATTTAGGCCCAAGGCCTCTGTCAATCACTGGGACCAGGGGTTTCGAGGGAGAAGAGAAGATCTGGTTGTGGGTGGAGAGGACTATTACAGCCCCATCTCCCCACAGCTCATGGTCAGAAGTGGTAAAAAACTTGAAATCCTACCCACAAGAGGTGATTTAGGTACAGTGGGTGACTGAAGAACGCCAAATCTAGGCTGGCGGTGTAGTTCTGTGGGACAGCACTTGTTTAGCATGCACAGGGCCCTGGGTTTGGTCCCAGTACTGAAAAAGAATGCAGAATCTGATAAGCCTGGGTTTAAAGCCAGCTCCCCCACTTATTTGTTAGACATTTAGGAGGTCCCTAATTACTCCCTGAATCTGTCTTCTTCTAAAATGAAGATACTAATTCTCATTGGACAGGTAACTGACTATGGCTCAACTGAGGGAGTGCACAGTAAATACCCAGCCGATGTATTACTTAACATTGCCATCACATGATTACTCTTACACAGAGGCCCAGAGATGGACTATGAAGTGCTCAGGTTTACCTGGCAAGGGCAGCTGGACCTTGCACCAGGCCTGGGGCTCTGTTATCACCCTGGTTTTTTACTTTTGTGTTTCTCAGCCTTTGTTTCTGTTTTACCCTCTTTGACTTTCCAACTCAGGCTTCCTCCTCCCCCCACCCATTTCCTGTCCCCCTTCCCTCCACCGCTGAGGTGCACACAGACAGCATCAGCTTCCACCTCACAAACCCCAACAATGCTCTGTGGGCTCCCTTTCTCCCCACCCCCACTGCTTGCTCAGTGGAGCTCAGGAGGCCATGAACTTACACTTTTCTCCTAGTGGGGTCCAGGCTCAGTTCTTGGGCCTGAGAGGGGCCACCAGAGCTCTTCATATATCACTCACTGATGACCTGGTCCTCAGTTTATGATGGGTGCCATTTCCAGCCTGGATGCAGGAAATTGAATTTGGCCTGCCTGCTGTTTGTGGCAAGTTTCTTGCCTCCTGCTGATAACACAAAGTGCTGACAGTCTGACCAAAGCCCTTGTGTGCCTGGAGCAGTGCATTTTCTTGGCCTTCCACCAGTGTAGGAGATGGTGCCAGGCCGTGCTCTTCTACCAGGGGCTGTGGCCTCGCCTCTGCCTGCATTAGCAGTGCTGCCCCACCTATCAGCCATCATTAATAAGCATTATCCTGCCCTCTGTCTATAGCTGTCACCCTCTCCTCTTAAATGTTGTCCATCCTGACTCCCAACACAGGATGTTGTGAGTGTTCTGTCTGTAGAAGGGTTGTGCCCGTCCTTAGTCTATCCTGTGATTCTAATGAAGTTATTGTCCAAGCCCTGCAATGACATGAGTACTGTTCTGTCCTAACTATAGCAACTGTTTCAGCCTCAAGTGTGACTGTAACACATGTGGTCTTCTCTCTAACTATTTAACAGTCATATTGTTCTATCCTCTGACTGCCAATGAGAACTCTTTTTTTTTTTTTGATATTGGGGATTGAACCCAAAGATACTTTAGCACTAAGCTACATCCCCCCAGTCCTTCTTTTTTAGTTGTAGATGGACACATACCTTTACTTCATTCATCTATTTTTTATGTGGTGCTGAGGATCGAACCCAGCACCTCGCACATGTGAGGCAAGTACTCTGCCACTGAGCTACAACCCCAGCACCCCCAATCCTTTTTATTTTTTACTTTGAGACATAAATCTCACCAAGTTGCCTAGGCTGGCCTTGAACTTTCAGTCCTCCTGCCTCAGTCTCATGAGTAGCTGGGATTATATGTGTGTGCTACTGAACCTGGCAAATGATGTTACCTTTGCTGTCAGACTGAAACAAGGGGGCCACTCAGCAATCACACTGTGATAATGGTGCCACTTGCCTTTCTCTGACCAGGTATGTGCTCGCCTGCACTCACTGGGGTCAAGGGCTGCCCATGAATCACTTGCCCTGATAGAGTCTGGAGGGTAGGAGGGAGGGTCTATCAAACATCCTCCCCTGCACTTTAAACTTCCAAATACTACCCTCAGAATGAGTACGGTCCGGCCTGGAGATGTCTAGGACCCCTAGAGGCTGAGGGGCGGGGGGCTATTTTGACAGGAAGCTTGGGGTGCTACAGGCTTGTGGTTGGGCTGCTGGGGCCTGGTTGGCTGCAGAGCCCTCAGGAGGAGGCAGGAAGTCAGGGTGGAACGTGGGCGCAGGGAGACAGGTGGTGACTGCGACGGCAAGGGGAGCTGAGACTGTATCTGGGCAGCCGAGCAAGGCCAGGAGGACCATGTGAATGGGCCAGAGGGCTCCTGGGCCGGACAGGTAAGGAGTACTGGGAACAGGGGTCCAGGGACTGTGGTAGGAAGCCGAGCCCAGAGGGCTGAAGCCATGTGTAGGGCCACATCTGCAGCAACCCTTCAGGCTGAGAGAAACACGTCACTGGAGGTCAGCTGGATCTCCCCTTTCCTGTGAAATTGATGGCTCTTGCCTCTGCCACCATCTGAGGAGGAGATTATCGCTTCTTGGAGATCTGGCACATGGACATCAGGTATTAAAAAGGCCTTCAGAAATCACCACGTCCAGTTCCTCATCCCATGAGAATGAGGCATTTAAGACCCACCAGTAAAGCGGTGGCTGAGCTAAACCCTGGAGAGTAGTGGCCTAGGCTGGGACACCTTTTTGCTCCACAATGGAAAAGGGTCATAGGACAATCTTGAGTCAGAAGACCCAGGAATCCATACTTCTGGTCCCTAAGCCAGACAAGAACCTCTTGAAAGAGTCACCCAGAGGATCCAGATGGAGGGGTGAGAAGTGACCTTAGCCTAAGTGACCAGCATTGTTTGAGAGAGGGAGGAGACTACCAAGGGGAGCGAATGGGTTTGTGAGGGGATATTTGTCATCAGGGATGGAGTCCTTGGGCGGACACATCTGCTCTGACTCTGGGAAGTCTCAGAAAGAGAAAGATGAGAGAGGAAAGAGGAAGGGCTATTTTTATCCCGGACGGGAGTACAGCTGGCTCTAGGCAAGGAACTTCTGAACTTCCATCTGGAAAGTTGCCTTTCCTGCCTTGCCAAATGTCACAGCAGGATGTCCTCCCCTCTGCCCTGACCCTCCTGCTCAGCCCCAGCTGCGTGTATAGGTCAGTGTGTCCTCCCCATTCCGGCTTCAAACCCGGGTGGGGGAGCTCAGAACAGCACCGAAAGCTACCTCCGGTCTTCGGAGAGGCTAACTCTGAGCCTTCAGCTTCTGGGGGTAGTCCCCACCTCAGCCAGACTTTCCAGGTTTCCCCTGCCTCACTGGAGTTTTTCTTGTCACATATTTTCCACCTAGTCAGCATGTCCCAGCCTTTCTCCTATCTCCTGCCCCAAGGCCTGTCACCTGTTGTGGGGACTGAAGCTCTCCCTGAGTTCCAACAGGGCTCATCTACTCCTGGACAGGCACGAGCAGTCCCCTGCACTGAGCCCTGTGCTGGTGGATCCATCAGACACTGTGCCTAGCTTTTAGGGCTCAGGGACAGTGACTCTTCTCAAAGGGAGAAAGGGCCAAGGACAGGGGCAGAGAATGAGCTGAGGGTTCAGAGGAGGGAGAAGACCTCCCTCAAGGGGATCTGGAAAGCTTCCTGAAGAGTCAGGGAAGTTTTAGAACAGATGCCCATTTTGGAGAGTGAAGCCCAAGGTCATTCATTATTCCTGAGTTCTGTTCCTTGGGACCATAAAGACAAAGTCCTCAGAGTAAAGGTAAGAGAGCCTAGAAGTGTGGTGTAGTGTGAAGAATGTGCATTTCAGGGTCAGAAAACCCAAGTAGAATTCCGGCTTTGCCATTTCCTTGAGTAGCTTCATAGCTCCAAACTTTAGTTTACTTATCTGTAAAGAGCAATAATAGATCTCTCCCTTACAGGGTACTTGCAGGAGGTCAAAGAGAAAATAATGACTCTGATGTGCCCTGGGTAGTACCTGACACATAGTAGGTGCTTAGGGGAAGCCAGGCACTTCCTTCCCTGCAAATGATGCACTAAGGGTTGGAAGGGCTGTCCACACCCAGAATCACACCTACTCAGCGCTTGGCCTTGGCAAGGCAATGAACCGCCCGCCCATTCCCTCACACTTGTGGTGTGGCTTTGCAAACGAGCTGAGCTTGTTTCCTGTGTGTAGTGGAGTGTGAGAACGAAGGCACACTGGATTTTGAGATAGGCTATAGGGTTTGCCTTAGAAGAGGGCCCCTTATATAGTCAGTCTCTCTCCCTCTCTCTCTCTCTCTCTCTCTCTCTCTCTCTCTCTCTCTCTCTC